AAAACTCCATAATTTTGCATCTTCTCTAATCATTTTGAAAGCCAATAGATAATGAGAAACAAGGTACATGCTGCAATGACTCCAGACAGAATAAGAGTGTCCCTTGACCGCCTTCTTCTAATTGAACCTGATTATGATATCACAAACTAATTATTATTAGCCCTAAACGAACAGGAAATAACATCAAAATCACCAAACAGTTTATCCTATGTTTATAAATTTACCTAGGAGGCCGCGTATAACTGGGAATTTGTCACTTAGAAGCTTCACTTTTCCTTGAACATCTCCAAACAAAGCCCTTTGATTGCCCAAGACTGCCCTTGTAGTTTGAGCTTGACTTATTACTTCATCCATCTACAGAACAGAACACAAATTACAATAAATAAACGTGAAGTACGACAAAACATCAAAATCCATGAGTAAAATGGTTATTTTATACAATATTAATGCTAAACTACTCAATCCCTGGACAATTGAGCGTTTCTAAATTTCAATTTTAATGGTCTACCTCTTTGGTTTTTAAGCTCAAGGTGCATATGAACTAAAACCAGACACGAGGGAAATGGTTAAAGACAAACATAGATTAATAATTAAAGTTGGATGTTTCGGGATTAGTGCACTTAAAAAAATTTCTTCTACCAAATATTTTTCTCACCATCTATAAGAGTTGATTTTTGCACATCTAGGAGACAACCTAATGCTCCTAAATGTCTACCATGTATATTCTCACAGCTTGATTTTACTAAAAACATTTTGCGGCAAGGTTCTGTTCTCCCGAGCCATGAAAAAAAAAAAAAAAAAAAAGGCTACACTTGGGGAAGGAATTGAAGAAAGAGACAAGATAATCAATAAATTTTATGGAGGCTTACATGAGCTATACTTCCATGAATAGCAGCTCTTTCCCGCAGTAACTGCATCCTCGGTGACATGGTTCCAGGTGACTGTTCCAAACACATTGGGTGGGAGTCACTTGCAAAGATGCATTAAATAACATCTAAGTAAACATATTCCATGTAACAATGTCAACAAATTCGGTTGTGCTAACCTTATACTCATTGATGTCGTCCCTAACAGAACTTAAAAGTTCTGCATGTTCCCTCATTGAGTTAATGTTTCCTTTTATTCGTTTGAATTCCTGAAACACACGGATGCCATTCATTCTTTATTACTTCAATGTTGTTGAATAAAGCATTTATGAAGAAAGTAGCAAGGTGATACATGAATCAAGAAAAGCAAATTACATATGCAGATTCAAGTTTCAATCAGAAATTAGAATATGGCACTGCAGAACCATGAAGTCAAATCATTATCTCATATTTAAAGTTCATCGATGCATTATAACTTTTCACTCAAATATTTCTTGAGTAACAAATATATACATACAGAGAATATTTTGGATATGGTGATAAATATGAAACCATTTAGCTCATGCACGTTTGATAAAATCCCACAGGCAAAATTAAGATAGTAGAAACGAAAAATAGAATAGCATAGTATTGAAATATATGGGTAAAGAAGTACAATAACCCCAAGTATAGCCTTTGAGGTTTTAGCAACCTCCCCTATTCGTATTCTCACTCAAGCCTAAATCAATTGCCAATTAGCCAATTCCATTCCTTCATCTCCTCTCATGCGCCCTAATTATAACCAATTGGCTAATGACTAATAGACCATTGATGCTCTAATAATATTCCTAACTACCCAAATGTCATTCCCTTCATTACCTGCCCTTAAAACACACTTGTCCTCAAGGCGTGGTTAAAAAAATAGGTTTCTTCCAAAGGATTTCAAAACTGCAGACAAAAAAGGTCAACTTCTCTCTCTCCGCGTCTTTTCTCTCTTCTTCTCTTTCCTTCTTTATTTCTTCTTTTTTCAACAAATATTCACGTAAGCCAATCATCTAATGCCCTCCAGAAATTTGATTTTTAGTCTTGCAAACATTTTGTATTATAAAGCTCAGTTGAATCTGGAGTGTGCAGCAGTCAGCAATGCACAGTGGTGGATGATGGCCAATGACAGAGGAAGAGATGGAGGACAAGTAGATATCTAGCGAACATCTGCGCACACAGACATGGCAGAGGATAGCAGTAGCATAGGTGTCTTGCAGCAGCCACTAGGTACTTACTCTCTTCACATGGGTAAGGTGTTGCCACATTGTGTCGGGCTTTCAGTTTAAAATATAAGGCAACTTGATCTCAATAAATTTATGCATAGTCATCCAATTCAACTCATTCAACCCAAATGTTTCACTCTTTTCAAGCTCTTTGCCCCAGTGTCTTCCAAAATATTCTCCATGACATTTCATTTTTTTCCTTCTTTCTTTCGTGACCCTCCTCTACCTTGATTGGCTGCTGCCTCCAGCTAGGCCAGACCTCAACGTCTGCAAACCATCACCTCACATTCTCCCCCGGCATCCTTTTTTTTTTCTTTTTTTCTTTTTTTTTTTTTGCCTACACTGTTGTAATTTCTTCCTTTTTAAAGCACCCTGGATGTAATTTCTTCATTTTTTTTGCCCACTTATCCTAATCCTTCAACAAAGTTCATGAGTTGATACTATTGTATTCTAACAACTGTAGTAATAGGGGATTGACACAATGGGAAGTTTCCGACATAACCCATTTACTCCCTTCTTAAGTTCAAATTCATTCAACTTATCTTTCATTAGATAGCTCCATGCTCTATGTGGTCCTCATCATGGCTTTCTTTTGGAATCTGTGGAAAGAAAGAAATCAGAGAATATTTGCAGAAACGACACAGACCTACACAAAACTTTTTGACAATGTTGTTTACCAAGCTATATCTTGGTGTAAACTGTCTAATATTTTTACTTCCTATAGTTATACCTCCCTCATTGCAAACATCATGGTTTATACACCCCTCTTGTAAATTTCACTCATCAATGAAATTGTCTCTTATAAAAAAAAAAAAATATATATATATATATATAAAATAAAAAAATAAAAATAAAAACAAAATAAAAACAACCGATATTGGTTGAGTTATTTGAGAAGAATCAGATGTTATCTTGTATAACCTTAGTCTTCCTACATTTTCATCGTCGTAAAAATGTGTATGCTGCCATAGCTTGACATCCCAGAAGCGGTATATGCCTATAATACCCACTCTACCTTCTTCTAGGTTTTTCAATGCCTTGAAGTATTCTTCAATACCCCATAGAAAATTATTTGGTTCCTTTGCTTGCCTAGAACCATTAAGCACCTTAGGTTTTAGGATTTTCACTTCTATAGACTCAACGGTATCTTTGTTGGGAGTCCTTACAAGAGCTCTCTTTACCAAAAAGATCTTTTTTCTAAACTCCAACCATATCTAAACCTTACTTAAGAGAATCAAGGTTATTCTTTAACCTTTTTTAGTAGAAGTATAAGTAATGAAACCACCTATCATTGCATTAAACTGATCCTTCATCTTCACCATAAAGTTCTTAAAAGATAGTTCAATTCTCTAATACTGTCATTATGTTTAGTCACCTAAATAATGAGAAGAAAAATCCTATTATCCTGTGGATTATCCAAACAACCCTCCAACTGGCTCTCACAATTGCCAAAAGTTTCTGACATTTTCCTGGGAACAAGAGAGAGTTACCAGCCAAGATAAGTCACGCTTTGATATCACTTGTCACAAGGTTAAAAATCAAGATTTCTTTTTCCTTGTGTAGCACTCACAATCTTCCTAATCAACCTTGAACACAATGGGAAAAAGGGATACACACAATGGGAAGTGAACCATAAAATTGAAGAGCCAAATTTCTCATTCTGATTGTTTCACTAAAAAACACAACATGTAAGGCTGGAGCTAAAGGAAAACGTGGTCACCAACCTAAAACTAAACATCCCAGCAATGGGAATCAGCAGCGTGCTTTATATGTTGCTGAACTCTAACAAGCTTAGAATTTAAATGATCTAAGATGGCATCTCGATTATATAAACTCCAAAATGAGTGAAAGAGAGTAAAGAAAACAACAACATCAAGACCAAACTAAGAAATAAATACATAAAATACCAAATGAAAGAACAAAATACATAACCAGACAGCAACAAAAGAAATAATGAAGGATATAAAAAGCTCTAGTTCAAAAAAAATGGTATCTTGATTGTATAGTAATTGGTCCACTTATAAAAAACAAAAGGAGATATAAATGATGAAAGAGGAAGGCCCTGGTGGAAACATGATAAGACGTGGTGAAGCCTTAAAAAGGTTAGATAGGTGGGTTTTTTTAGTTCGGATAAAAGAAGGCACCTCATTCAGGACATTGGGGTTCTGTCAAAGAGGATTACAGCACATTGTTCATAAAGCTTCCAAGTAAAACCGAATAAAATGTACCCCAAGAAGTCACATGTTTTCTTGCTCAGTCAACCCTTTCCTCCTATTCACTATGCATTTCTTCAGATAGCATTTGATAAATTTCATACCAAAGACCCAAAATAATTGCATTAAGATCACAACCATTAAGCTGAATCAAAGAATTTGGAACTTTAGATCATCAATACTCATTAGGATCTTGGTCATAATAACAAGAATTATTAAAATTAAGTCAAAACCTGTGTAAATTCATGGAGAATATCCCTGTGTCTTGCTAGTTTTTGATTTATAGAGGTAGCTGGTGCTGCAAATGCAGCACATCGACTCATTGAATCATTAACGTCCAACAATTTCTCAAGTAAAGATTGGATTTCCATTTCCATAGACTTCCATGATCTGTTGGGACCAACAGACGGTGAACTAGAATCCACATAACCTGATCACAAACACATAAACCATCATCCACACAATCTCATCTAAGAACAAAGACCACAATATAAAACCAGTATACTTAATCAAGCGGCACTTAATTTGGGCTATGAAAAGGGGAAAGATCTTGAAGCAATCTAAATACAGAACGTGTAAAAGAATCATGTGACTGAAAAAAAAATATATATTCAAGGTTTACACTTAGCAAGCTTAATCAAAGTAATGCTGAAATTGGGACTGGAAGTACAAACATTCAAATCATTGGCTTAGATTGAGGCAAAAGATGCTTTGCCCTTTAGTGGTGGTTGAGAGGTGCATAGAAAAATTTAGGGTTCTGGATATTCTTTTATTAACTTCCGAACTAAAATATGTTCCAGACCAATTTATATGCTACAAGGCCGGTTTGATGTTTTGGGATCATCAAACAATTTAAGAACATAAGTCAATGGATTAAACTTAATTTATCAGTATGGTATAAAGAACACAGATCAACGAATATGCTTGCGAAGCATAGAAGGCATAAGTTAGATCTGAATTTTTTTAAAACATCAACTTCGAATATCCAAAAAAGTCAATGTCTATTCGGAGGTTCCATTGAGGGAATTCTACATAAATTATTCTTACGAAAAGAAAAGGAAAAAAATGTAAACTGTAATGCAAAAGTTCCCGAAGCACATTGATAATAATCTAAAGCCCCGATGGAATTAGCAGTTGATTTCGGGAAATCATTTACAGCGTAAGGATCCATGATCAAATAACAGATAAATATCATCATCTTAAGAAATTTCAGTAGTTAAATCTTTGATTTGATTATTCATATCTCAGTAATCTAAGAAATGTAGCTGGAGTTATCCTCGACCATCTCACATAAACACTACCATTGTTCCACCACAGAGAAAGGGTCACTTCCATCCATCTCTGCAGGATGAAACTAGTATCGACTGAAAATTACAGCTCTACCAAATACAATTTACATACAGCGATTAAAATGCGTAAAGGGCTAAAGAATCAGAGATCCGTGAAGTGAAGCAAAAAGGAAGAAAGCAAACCTCCTTGAGTGAACCTGGTACCGAGCTTCGCATAGGAGGAGAGCTTGACATCGAGATCGCCCTCGATCTTTCGAGCCTCACGCCTCAGCTCCTCCCAACCGGACTCCTGCAATTCAAGGCTCTGATCTGTCATTGCCATCTACAAAATTCACACCCGAAACTCATTTTGGTTTAGATATCAGTATACAATGCTTAATTGGGCTCAATGCCCTTTCCATACTTATTTGTCAAACTACTCGTAAGGTAAGGTATCTATATCCGTACTACAATAAAAAGTAAGTATATTGAAAAATATAATATATTTTCAGACCGTTTTACCATTAATTTTTTAGTTAATTGCAAGTATGTAATTTATTTATAACCCTTTTAACCCTTTGTTTTAAATAAAGTTTTTAAAATTTAATAAATATCCCTCCTTAAAAAAAAAAAAAAAAAAAAAAAAAAAAA